CAGATGTGACACAGAAAGATGAAAGTCCACTGAATGCTGACATTCTGCACTTTGAAAATAAAGATTCAGATTAAGAGAACTCTACAATGAATTGCATTAAACATGATTTTTTTTCATAAACAACGCTTTCACTGGGATACATTTTGCTCTTAAACCCCCAGGGAAACTTGAGCCATTCAAAGCAACATCATCTTCCACCAGGAACCGAGTCCAACTGTTGAAGAGTAATTTAAACAATACATACAGCAAGCTATTGACATCCAGATAAATAGCAATCTCAAAACCTATACTTAAAGTGTGCACAGCCTAAATTTTTTTTTTTTGATAGCACTAGAGGAAGTTTTTAATACGCATCGGCAGAAGGCTCAAAGGTTTCAGACACTGTTCAGGATGTCAATAACTAAACCAAATAACTTCCTGGTAAGTTATGTGAGCCTCTCCAGCCTCTCGGAATCCATCATAATTGGCCACAAGCCTTCAGCAAATATTCCGGCAGGGCTGTGGGCTAAGGATGATGATGTCCATACATGTACATGTACACATGTACAATGTCCATGGACATACTGGTACATGCACATGCATACTGTGTCCGTGGACGTACATGTGTATTCTTCAACACCTGGAGCAGTTTTACAGCCTAGCATAGGCCCAGCTCAAACAATTATTTTTGGAGTTCAGAAAGCATGTCAATGAGAAACACTTGCCAGGTCCTAGGTTTCGAATGAACTCTGATCTTTAGGACCGAAGACTGAGGGAGATATATGCACTGTATACATTATATGTAAACCCTTTAATTGCCAAATCCCCACAAAGGTTTTTAAAGTACTGGTACTGCGGCAATACTTCAGTGTTCAGCAGCACAGCCTTATCTCAGGATAATGTATCTTGTGCCACCTACCGATAAAGTGACATTTTGAAAAAAATTACAGATATGAAGCATATCTATTTTCAGAAATTGAGGTCAAAGGTCTTTCACTTTTTCTTTTTACGCATTTTCTCTGTGCTTCACGCTACCTTTTGGTTTTGTGAAATCAAATCAACTCATGAACTTTATATCACCTGACTTTATAGGTGCTACACTTTTTCAGATTCAAGTTTTTAAAATTAAATGGTTATGCAAATGAGTGAAAGTTTGTTTACCCAAAATAGTGAAACACACAATTTCAGTTCAGGAGGTTTCTCACGCACGTCATTCATCATTCTAAATAATTATTCCAGACTGTGATGGTCAAATGCAAAGCCTGATGAATTGCCACGGAATGACCCTCCCCCCAAAAATCCTAAATTTTGTTAATGTTGTTTTGTAATTTTTGTAATGTAATTTTGTTTAATCCTGTTAAACCTAGGATTGAGTTTCTCAAACGGGTTCCTGGAATGCCCATATGTTGTCACTTCTTCTGTCTCTTATCATGCCCATCCTGTCAGATAGTCATGGTTGTGTTGTCGCTGGTCGCAGTTGAACGATTCCATCGATATCTGTGAGAAAGTCAGACCTCATTTGAGCAACAGTGCAATGAAAGGAGGTCAACCAATACGAATGGGTAAACAAATGTACATGTACCTAGATGCACGTGAAGAACATAATACATTGCATCATCCACATGTAACTCTCCAAGCTCATCGGGATTGTTTAAAACTTTTTAAAAAAATGTGTCTGATGCACAGTTGACTATATGCACGTATATTTCTGATGCATAGTGAACTCACAAGATGACATGTTCTTTATGTTGCAGAAATATTATTTTTTTAACATAATGATACAGTGTACATGAACATAAAGGTGATCAATGATTAATGGGGAATCTGCCTGTGCCAGTTTCTCTGCTTTTTATTATAGCCTTGGGGGAAAGCACTCAGTTGATAGGCTTGTCCTCGCTAGCTTTTCTTTTTTCACTAAAAAAAAAAAAAATTCAGAAAATACGGCAAACAAAGAGGCCCAAGCTACAGAAAGGTTTTCAAGAATGGTATGGGGCCATGAAATACAACTCACAAATTCCGACCCACGGCGTTCTGTCACAACGTTCCGGTTGACGTGAAAACTTGGATAATGAACCGAGCGGAACCCTTACATGTATGCACACAAGGTCATGCTTTTGCCCAGTCAAGCATCAAACTAAAAGGAATACACAACCTTTATGAACTCTTTGATCAAAACTTATTAAGCAGTTGTCCCACTTTCCCCAGATTAATTGAGGGGCACTGCTACGTAATGTACATGTACATACTGGTATGTACATGTACATGTATGTACATTTGCAGTAACGCCTACAACATGCACATGTGTCTGTATAGTACCATGATCATGCAACTGGAAGTGTATAGAAATCTGTCTCTTGAACAGATAAGAACAGATGTGTCACTACACATTTCAACGGCCATGCTGAAGTATTTTGTGCACTGTTTACTAATATGGATAAAAAATTAAACTGCACTGAACAGCAGCTTCCGGTGCATTGAGCCACCTTGGCTCCAACATACTGGTACCACAGATTCCAGCTTCACTTACTGTACAGACTGTCTATGCAGCAACTGACTTAATTAAAAACTCCACAATCTTCCACTGTGCTGGAAATCCTTTAAAACCTCTTGCTACATGTAGATGTGGAATGATGGAAGTGAGATTAAACTGTGGAAGTGATACAATTACTTTAAAATTGTGTAGTTTGGGACTAAATTATGCGTAACTAAATGTATGGCATCAGTCCCAACTACAGCTGCGGCCATCCAAACAACAATGCTCTAGTTGAGCCAGCTCAACTACAGCACAGAGTGCCAGTGCGTGCCACAGCATGTGCCAAAGTCAATTTTCATTTATTGACAACTTGTGCTGGCAGAAACAAGTTTTATATGTGGCGGACGAAATGCCAGGTTGGCATTTTTTTGGTGAATTTTGTTGGGTGTGAGCTGCATAAATTTGGACAAGGTCGAGGAACTTTCTATAGAGATTCACCGACTATACATGTAGATAGGGCAGCCCAGCAGCAGTTCCATAGTTGAGACAGACATGTCAGGCATAACAAGTGGGTGGAGAGAGAGCCATACATTGTATGGACATCACTTATTTTCCCCTGCAGTGGTTATCAACGATCAAAAAGTGAAAGCATGTCCTACAAGGTCAAATTTAGCAAGGACAATATGAAGTATTTACATGTAAATGTACATAGAAAATAAATGTTCAGACCAGTCTCATAAGTGAACACGGGATGTCAAGCGATGTCCGTGTATGGCACTCTTTCCTACATGTAGCAAGCTTACAGTGTACATGTACATTTTCCACCCAGAGGCATGTAAGGGTGAAATATGTGTGCATTTGTTCACCCATGTCTGTGCCTATTACACTAGGCAAAAAAAAGAAGTATGATGAAACCCTTGAACTAACAGGATCCCGCCATTTGGCAATCTTTGGCAAAATGCCAGAAATCCCCCCCCCCCAGCAAAGCTGTTATCAATGGCAGACTGATATAAATATACACGCAGGCACATTACATAGAAAACTTACAAAGGAAATACCATCGCCACGGCATACTCTAGTATTCTGTGTGATCAGAGCACATGGAGCATGTAACGGGGGAGTAAGAGGGAGACAATAAGGCACGAGGTGGGGACAGCAGTCCTCTGTGGACTACAGGAGTTTGGGGGTTCCATCCAATTTACAATTTCAGATTTTACTGTTCACCTTTCAAAACAAAATTCCACAGTTTAAAATTACAAGATAAAGGTGATTATTTGAAGGAAACAGGATGGAGAGAATTCAATATGAACAGATGCCGCTTGACACCCTGTGCAAAAACCCTATGAGATTGGTCTGACAAATTCTGTGAATGCATAACATGTACTTCAATATTTTCATTGTAAAATTTGATTTTTTAGGATAAAATACATGTATATTTTAGTGCTTTCAGATGGCTAACTGGTCTCTGCAAGGAAATATGTGGCATCCAAATATGGAATTTTTTTTTAATTTTGCACTCTGACGGAGAGAAAACTTTCAGAGAACGTAAACCTTAAAATTCAACTACATTGTACATACATGTACAACAGGCAAAACAGACGTCAATTATCTAACATACATGTAACTGAGACCTTAAAGAACTACTTGGTTAGCAACGGTTAAATTATGCATATTAAGAAGCAATATAAAGGAGAAAAACAAAGATCGCTTGCAAGTTAAGGAACACACAAGGGAAGCATGGTTCATGAAAGGTGTCTTTTATTTCAAGAACAAGAATGTGCTACTTTTCTACATGCAATTAATTTGTAATGATGTTTACCTGTAGTTTCTACCCGTATGTATTATTCCTGTAATTAGTGTCTACATGCATGGGGTCTCCAGTTGACAAGCAATGCTTCTTGGGGGTCTCCATCCATCACCTTCAGTTAACATGTACCATCTTTATCTCCAAATATTAGGATATGGACAAATAAAATGAAGGAGAAAAATGTTGCATCCTGACTCCACCTTTCTCATCATGTATTATCTCAATAAAAATCAGTAATTACAGAAATGCTGGAAAGACACGGATTCTGGACTGAGAAACATTTACCGATGTTGTTGGCAAATACTTGGAAAATTCTCTTCACTCCCCATAGACTTTGTACACAACTGCTGAAGTGGAGTCAGGATGCAACATTAGAAAGTGATAAGATGTCCAAAAAAAGTGAAATTTAGGTGGGAAAATTCCCAAACATCTACTCAGAAAGCAGGTTTTTTCAGGCAAGTCTCAGAGTCATAGGTTTGTGCACAGAAACATGATCAAGTGTTGTCCGTACATGGAACTCATTGCATTTTTGTGGTATCATCCGTCTACTCTTTTTTTTCACACACTTAATGTGTTCCGAATCACTATCTCGCCAACGAGGCAGGCGTAGACAAACGTAGAGTAGGCATCCAAGTGCAAACTTCTTGACCGGGAAAAACACGACTGATGCCCTACCGTTGAAGCCTAAATGTACCATGTACACACTAGACCTAGGCCTACATCAAAAACAAAATTTCTTACCTTCGGCTTCGACTCCAAAAGGCCTCCTCAAAACAGTCAAAATTCCAACCAACAGCAGCCACATCATGGCAGAACTTCGAGATGACATCGCTCGAAGCTCCACGTCTACACCGCGTTTACATCCAAAAAAATCCGTGGATTGTAGCAGCACGTGGGAATTACCTCCACAACTCGAACAACATCACGTCGTGATCCCGTATGTTGAAAACTGACTGTACCGTGGGAAGGCGCAGTCGCACATGGCCGTATTGTACGCAACGTCTGGGTGAATAGTATTTGAAGTTAGTTTAAGACATCACTCACCCTCGTGCCGTGCATGCGAGTGCAGCAATGTTACGAAATTATTTTACAATTTAAGAGAAAGCACTTTAACTTAATTTGCAAGTGCTTTCTTGGCTTTGCGTCTATATTTGCTGTGGAGTATGTGGTTTTTGACACAGGCAGTGATGCCGAGTTGCCAACCAACTCCATTTCAACATAAAGCGACTGACGCGCGTCGATAAGCTCTGCTCTCTGATGGTGAAGAAATTCATTTGGTTTAAAAGATTTACTCCAAAATTAACTCCAAACTTCAAAAAAGCGAATGCCCAGACGCCAGATAGATAATACGCATGATTTTTCCACCCCCCAAATCAATACCCCCCTCTTATCCCCCGTCTCCATTTCATTTTTATTCATTTTAGAGAAGACAACTATGCATTCAGTTTTGCTTAATTATTTTCATTCAAAAGAATCACTGACATAACATAAAACCAAAGGGAATCACAGAGACTTTGCTGGGAAGCCATATCCCCGACTCCCTAAAAGTAAAATGGCTCCCTCGATCTCCACAGTATATGTATTCATTCAAACACCACATAATGCTGCAAAAGTTGGGCGACGGTTTCACGTGGTTCGGAGCAATCCCTGTACTGAGCATCACAATAGCTTTTCAAGTTATGCAAACCGCTCTATTCTAGTGTATTTTTCGTAACACTTGACAAGAGCCGTGCACCATTCATGATTTTTCTTGGTAGCAGAGGCCCTGTTAATTCAAGGTACAAAGGAAGCCCGCGAAATAAAGTTGTCACAATGGTCAAAGCCAAACGAGGCTTCCAGCAAAGAACTACCGGTATGCTTGGGGTGGTGGTGGTTTCCTCAACCCCCCCCTCCCCGGCATTTCGGCTTACGGCGTACTAGAATAGCTTCGTGTTCAGAAATGTGAACCAATAATACCTACAACCTTAAAAACCACTGCGTTAATGTACCAATTTGGTGATGCATCCCTTCAAGTGCATTATCATGATTGCCGAGTTTTGAGTCACGATGTGAATTTTCAAGTTAAGAGGGCTTATTTAATAATTGAAGTTATATTTCAAACATTACGGTGATGCTGATAAGAATATTTTATAGTGGAGATGGTAACGAGGTTTTTTTTAATGAGGATAAAAGTGAGCTGAATCATTTTTCACTTGTATCCTGAAATGCTAAAATAATCCTCCTTCACTTGACATGATGCGCTGTTTATTTGCTCGGGGACAAAGAAAACGGTTCTACTTTGTAACTTACTTCAGGAGGGCGCTATTCCTTTCATGTGGTCTTCCCTAGGCCCTCGTGCGCCCCCTGCGCGGGCGCTGGGCGACGAGCGGATGGGTTCTAGGAATGGGTCATGGGTCTAGAAATCATCTAGTACAGTACTAATGCGAAGAATGTTTTTATCAGCCACTGAAAAGAAAACTGGTTACCTGAAATTACAGCTCCACGAATAAAAGTACAGTGTGGCGTTGCTGTATGAGGTGTTTATTGGTGAAGCTAATCTTTTGTAAGTAAGGCTCTTGTAATTACGAATAGGTTTACAGGAGATGATTCTCTTATGGGGTAACTTTTTTTGTTTTATGTTCTTTTGCTTTCTCTGAAGAGTTCATTCGCAGTTTAATGTACATACCTCCTTTATTCCATTTCAGATTGAATCTGTAATGTAGAGTGGAAACGTAATTTTTCTAAACTGATTGAATTGTCTTCCTGTTTTTATATCGTTTGATAATGGTTCCTCTGTTTTAAAGCGACGGTTTGCCTCGATAGCTATTAATTAGCATCGTTAATCAAATGTAAAGTATTTCTACTTTTGTTCATGCTAGATCTGTGAATGGACTTCCTCTCGTATTTTTCCCTTTGCCCTCGAGATTTATTCAACACTGACCACCATATCGAAAAATAAGACTTAAGAAGTTTCTCATAGCGGGAAAAGGAAGGGTCGTTTATTGTTGTTGGTTTAATTATCAAAATTCTTGCGATACTTTAATAGTCAAAAGTTACTTCGTTCGTTTTATTGTTGAGTTTATTTCTCTGAGATCAAGCTATGCATTTTTGCAAATTTAGTCTTTCTGTTTGCAATGATTATCTTGTTTGTGTTAATGTGATTTTCATGTAGTTGAAGTCACGCTATCCATTTATTCAGGGCTTAGCTACGCTGATTCTTGAAGGAACAGACGGGTTTCCAAACCATTTTGCTCTCGTTTCCGCTTGCGGAAAGAACAGTTTTTGAACTGTGTACATAAGCCATTCCACATACGGTGTAGGACGAGCTCATGCTCACAGATTTCACAGACGATGCCACGCGTTTTCTCATTATCATCACGAACTATGGAGACGTCGTTTTTCCTTAAATGACATCACGCTTTGGCTCGTGAATAACGACATTTTCATTAGAAAAATGCAGAATGTTGAATTTTCTCCTTTTAGTGCTACAATAGAGGTGTAAAAACATTCTAACATCTGATTAACATCGCTCGTCATGTATTGAAGTCATAAAATTCCGTGGTTCCTTTAACTTGATTCCAACCCATCATCATGCAGTTGGGGCATGTCTTGTCTTTTTATTAACCCAATACTAGAGGTATTATATACTCAATACCAACTCCATGACTGAAACATGTGAATGCGCTATATAGTGTTCATGTTGTAGACAGGTATACTTTTGTGGTTAATGTAGGAGTTTTGCACTGTTCGTGAACATTTTCCTGATTGTATGGTGTTCCGCGTGGCCGTTCGTGTACTTTGGCCAACGTTAGCCGACGGACTGGTGGTTTGGAAAGAAAAGCGGGCACATTTTAAGTCTAGGCTGATGGATCCCGTGTACCAATTTGAAGAATCATGGACTCGGATCTTACAACTGATTTTTTTTTCGGATCCGTTCTCAAGGTAAGACATTCAACGCAGCTAGGTTAGCCCGTGCAAGTTTTGAGCCTTCTAGTTGAACGAATTGCGAGCTTTGTCGTCAATTTACGGGTCTGTGTGTGCCCATTCCAAATTGTAACATATTTTCTAATTTAATTTGCTTTGTTCTCCTCGCAAGAGGATTTATGCTTGTATTGTATAAAAGAAATAATGTATGTTTCACATTCGTGCAATGATGACAATAATTTCTCGAGGTACCTTGCATGGGCTTAAATCCAGGGGTATAGTGGATATAATCGTCCCATTTGGACGGCGGGGGATGGGCCAGGATCATACCCCCTTCCCAGTCCTTGTTCCATAAAAGTAACATTGCCTATAGGCCTACTATCGTCCTCATGCAATCACTTAAAAGTTAAGAAATTAGCAAGACCGACGTCCACATGTAACGTCAGTGCCTCTTCGTAGGATTTTAATGGAAAGTGTTTATTTCGGCGTGACAGAAGTGGTATTTCACGAGGTATTTTACATTTGCACACAAAATGGAAACCTGCTCATAAGTGCTCAATATCCGCCTTGAGCAGAAGCACCTGTTGTGGTCGGGAGTATTCGCGTATAGCGAGGTTGTCATAACGCGTGCGTTTCGTAGTTGTTTGCGCAGTGCAGTTCCTACCAAAGGAGCCCCTGTTGCTAGGAAAATGCTCCCTTTCTTGACTCCACTCGGGGCAGATCCGAATCACTGACTCCACAATAACAGTTACCGGTAGTTCCCCAGGTAACTGAAAGATTCGCAGCCGAGACAAGGAAGCACTCTGCCATACCAGTCAGTCCTTGCCTCTCATTGAAGTCAGTCCTAACAAGGCCACTGATTGGCCAGGATGCGCCGGTTCACCCTTCATCTTTGAAAAAAGCGCTCAAGATTCTAAGTATCGGTTTATCGGCACCCAGGCTTTTGCACGGTTTGTCGACTCCGTCTAAACAGTCCCGTGGGAAACCAATGTGCAAATGGGCCGTAATAGTATGGCTCCCAGCACATTTTAAAACCACTTCATGCCGGGGCATTTTTCAATGTTGATGATGCTGGGCCGGCATGACTATAATTTTTTCCGTTTTCAAAATCTTTCAAAAATTCATCATTTCATTTAACGGTCGTTTACAGCAGCACGAAGTAATCTTTAGGCGCTACTCTAAGTTGACAGGTGACCTTCATTGACGCCCGAGCATTTCAGCCAGGCCTTCAGCCTTGTTAACAGAGCCCAGATTGTTCGGCGATGTATAACTGTCTTTTGTTGACGAACCATCATATGCAGCAAGGTATGAGACGGAGAGAACCCCCCTGCTTTGTGTTGGTCATTGTCTCGCAGGAATCTTGGGAATTCCTTTCAGACATCTTGGGGGGGGGGTGTAAAGTAACAATAGTCTGGAATGTGTATAGGGATTGGACATGTTAGGGGGGTAACCCTCGGTCTCATTTCTTGCTGGGTATACGTCTCATACCTTGCTGCATATGTAGCCTGGTGGTGACATACGTTTTGGGTCTTTACTGTAATAGTTATTAGGATACAACTCCAGACTGGTTCCTTAAAGATTACATGATACAGACTACATATATACGAGGCAGGTTCCAGAGGGATGTTTTTATGCTACTAGAAAAAGCTGTGACGTCATCTGGTCGCGCGTCATTTCTACTTCCCTGACGCGAGGTAATGACGCGCTCCAATTTGCTCATGAATATTTATCATGTGTAGTAAGACGCTCTATGGCCCTGTAACTCAATTATTCCTTGTGAACGTGTACGGGTGCCAAGGAGCAATGCTGCTACTGGGTGGGGTCACGGTCACTTTCCATGTCGTTGTGGCAAGCATGTTGGTACGAAGACCGCCGGGATCTTATACCAAGGCCGTATTCCAATACTCAACTTCCCCTCCGTCTCTGGCTTCGTCCCCGAAACCAATCCCCGATTGTGGGCCTGAAGAGTTTAAATCAAATTGTATTACGGTAGGTTTTTGCTCTCTTGCATCTTATTTGATGCTTTGTGGCACTATTAGACTAATTAGTACCCTTACAGCTTCAAAGCCAGGTAGCAAAAAAAAAAAGAAAAAAAGTGAAGCCTGAGACGGAGCCGAAGTTGGGTATTGGATGCTGTAGAAGGCACTGTCGAGTCAATTGAATCTGCAAGTACTACTGTATACATATACCTGGGGGTATTTGAACGCTTTAGTTATTTATTTATTTTTAGGTTTTTACTTTTTTGGCTGTATAGGGCTACAATAAAATAGGTGGGGTTTTGAACCGGCATATTCCCCCTGCTTAACCTAATAGTATATAAATAAACATGGCTATCAGTCATACCCTCCTACATACCACTTCTTGTGAAAACCTCAGTCTATCTATCACTGTTGTTTCACTGTCGCTGCCACCATACGTAATAAACTGTATTCCTTCCCCCAACAGTCGTTAAATTATCGGACCCTTTTTTTTAAAGGCAATCTAGAAGTTCAAGTTTAAGTTTGTAGTAAACTGAGAATCATGCAACCTTGCAAAAATTAGGCTTTGAAAGAGCAACCCCAACGGTGGTGGAAAAAATGAGGAATACAGTTTAATATGCTCACACATGGTATCTAAATAATAAGTTATATATGTAAAGCGGCACTGTGACTTCTGAATAAATAGTGATAATGTGATAAAAATATAGACCAATTCTGCGGGTTTTTCAAAAATTCTCTACGTTTGTACGGCTGGTGGCGCCACGCAGAAATGCTTTTTTGTTTACGTACCACCGTGGAAACGAAAACGACATATATGGCCTGCGCGCCCGAATGCCCGCCTAGCCTGACACACTTTTCTGGAATAAAATAACAACATAAAAACATCCAAAGCATCCTTCACTCGGAACTTACCAAACCGTATTTATCAAATGATCTTGGTCTCCTTCACCGCCTCGTTCACCAGTGGTGGCCCCATCATCAGCCCGATCGGGATCCCGTTGGCGGTCAGGTGGCACGATGGGTTCAAAGTGGTAATACGCTCTGGACTCGGGACCTGTGTTGTCGATCCTTTCCGAACGTGCATTAGGTCGACAAATTTCGCGCATTGTGATTGGTCAACACATTGCAATCTCTTGGTGGCGCACGATTGTGAAACGCCCGTATTATGTGCATTGACGTGACCGCGCCGGCTCAGTGCGTACACGCACCAGACGGAGAACCGTTTCCACGCTACTCACTAGGCGCGGTGGAAGTTATAGGGTTGCAGGCCAGTCTGGGTCTAATTCTGCCTGCGCGGACCAAATCACGATTTGTAGGCTTCAAATTCTCTGCTGTTAGAGCCTTTTGCGGCACGTGGACTGGGTGGTTTGTTAAAAAGGTGGATGAAATCCAGGGGCAGGACTGTCAGCTTCTATTTCTGAAAGTATGGGACCAAACGGAGCCCTCCAAATTGCTCTATTTTGCCATGGAGTGTAAGCATCAATTTCCAAAATGGCGATGGGCCTCCTGACTGTTTTTAGGGGTGATTTTCTCTGGAGAAAAATATCTTCAAAAGTTATCGGTTAAGCCACTAAAATTGAAAGGGAAATTAAAGATGAGAAAGTGAGCTTTAATTTGATAGGTGTGTTGAACACCTGTGAAACTTGTATTTTTCCTGATTTTTTGAGCGGGTTAGCGTAGCGGTTCTTACTTCGCTTTGCACCAATGAGGCCCGGGTGCGAGTCCCGCCTTGGCCCAGGCTTTAAGAACATTTGGTTTCCAGTCCATACTCGCTCTGCGCAAGTTTTCTACGGGTAATCCGGTTTCCTCCTGCCTCTAAAACTGGACCTTCTTCCGAACTCCGTAATGTGATGCTGATTAATAAAGTGTATGGATGATAGTACAGTTATTGGCGCAAATAGCCCGAGTTGCTGAAAGCGTCATTTAAACAAAACAACAACAATAAGGTTCAAACCAATGCTCTGCAGTGAAATATGTGATCGCCGAGCTTTTGGGGAAAGCAGATTCAGTTGTGAACTGAATCTGTGAACCGGTTTTCCGTATGGTTCACGGAATATGTGACAAATATCCACAATAGTGTCAATAAATGACCACATGCCACATATATGATAAGCCAAATAATGAACGACAAGTAAACGACAGTCAATGAATCTACTATATTCTGGCTTTTGAAAAGCGTTCAACAGCACTAGTTCGGCAGTACCTGAGGGCTGTTCACATGCAGCATCCCATGACTTGTGCCAATGGTTGAACAGATGGCGATTGCACATGTAAGCAGTACACGATCGTAAAAAGGTGCTTGTGCAATAATGTACACAGTTGTCGCCAGCAAGCAGAGAGCAACAAAACAATTAAGTGTTCTCTCTACAGAGCTCTGAAACAGAGTCATCAAAAACTCTCTAGCGACCAATCCACACCAACAAGGCGGGATTGTGTAAACTAACAAAGTCACATCCTAAAATGCAAGGCAACAACAAAAGGCTAATTGGCATGGTTGTATAGCTGCCTGCACAGATGCCTGCATAGCTGCATAATTTCTGCACATATTGCAATACAATGTTCCTAATTACAAACTCTCATGAACCATCTTTCACCATCTCCAGTTGGGGCATAAGCAAATGGAATGAAGTCATCCTCCATAGACTTCGCACTGGCAAATGTTGAGATCTGAAGACCTTTCTGCATAAAATGATTTTCTTTCCTAGTGACTTGTGGGATTCATGTGTTGTCAAAGATGATGTCAACACTTTCTCATCGAGTGCTCAAAATCACTCAAGGCATCTGACTCGGAAATGTCACTTTAAGATTATTAGGGGAGGATTCTTACATTCAAGTTATACTAAATTACATAAAATCCTGAAATCCAAATTTTATTTTCCTTCTCGTTTAATTTACAATTCTAGCTGCCCTTGTCACCTCTGATTGAGATGTTGCATATGCACTGGGCTTAATTAAGGCATGTACGGGTTCTGTGTCATCTTCATCAAACTGCTCGGGAGACGGCTCGGCCCTAGAGGGAGCCCTTCTGTTACATATTGGTCGAGTTCGGGCGGCCTGTTCTCGACACGGGTTTCGCGTTCTCGCACTCGAACGGCAGGAACATGACCCAAGCACACTGTTCTAAGAACAGGTTCACACACCAACCCCTCGTTAGGGTTTTACACGAACACACGGGAAAACTCGCGAGATTTGATTTTGGAAAAGCTGTAAAACTATCGAGATGGCTTACAAAACTGGAGACAATGGAAAGTTTTGCACAAATTAATATCAATAATTTTCCACGACAGATATGATTTTCTTATGGAAAAGAAGTTAGCTCAAACATTAATTCTCGAGCATGCATTCTACAAGTAACTAGTAGCGATAACCGGTTGTACGTTCCCATTGTTCAAGCGGCCGACCCACAAACAACAAATCAGGCTGTTCCTGAATATACGAGAACAAGCCGCCCGAACTTAGCCACAGTGTGTGGCTGGATGGTTACGGGCGCGGCTACCCAACCGTATACATGTAATACAGCTATCGTCTTTGCTATTTTTTTTTTTCGATTCTGGCACACAGGGCATATAGTCTGTCACAAGTGCCAACCTAACCTACACCACCATCACCAGCTTTTCCGTATTACTTCCGTGTTGCTTTGCACGTCTTGTTTTCACTGTGGTGACGATTCTTACTCCACAAGTGAAAGGGGACCTACCTGGCAGGCCAGTACTGCGACATCGCTCTGGTGAGTGACTTGCTTTAATTAAAGCACTCTTGTGACGTCACCCTATTCAGTAAGTGTCGATTATTCCTAAGAATGTACAGTTTTTTAGAATGGAGAGTGTGGACATTCTTCAAAAGCGACTTGACACACAAAGAAAAAGCAAGTGTGACATTAAATTACAACGTCAAACACCGTAAGAAATGCTCTGAACAATAAAGCAGATTGTTTTAGACGTTCAACACGATTAACACTCAAATGGACGCGGTAACGTTTTCTGTTGAGATTAGCGATTTTCCATTAAAGCGAACCGCTCCTTACGTTGCACTATATAATGCTATTAATGTGTCTACTTCATTATACATACCTGTTGACTTTCTGTTTCCTTTTTATATATCCCATCCATTTTAGTTTTTTTTTATTTTACTTTAGATATTTATTCTAATGGTATCTTATAATTTTTATCCTTTTTCTTTGTGTATTTATTTTAAAATTCACATGTAGGAACTTTTACCCCTTTTTCTGTTATTAAACAACTTTTAAAAACAACTTCAGCAATCACAATTCATGTACAATTTGCAAAACGGATTAATCGTTTAGAAACTTAGGTATGATGCTTCCCAGATGAATGAAATGATATTCCAAATGCATGTATTTTCCAAACGGAAGAATTTCCTTTGGTGACTGAGGGATTTCAAAGAGTAAGCATGTACTTTCAAGGTTGAAAACGTAATCTTCATTTGAAAAGACAGTAAACTGTAGTTCTCAAACCAGTCACTCGGGAAACTTGCTTGTTGGTGGTATAAAAGGTCCCCAGCTCTGTACAGTCATATCGATAGCCTTTGCTAACTTAAATTTAGCGTATTTCTGCAACTAACATATAGATATAAATCCATATGGACCGTGCCATACACTGATAGTGTCGACTTCATGTCTGGGAGTAACTTCATGTGAAGCATGTACTGTTACCTGTGAATGAAAAACAGTTGTGCACCCAGCCGAGGAGTTACTCAATTGGGACAGGAATGAAGCTTTTATGTACATGCAAATATACATAGCCAGCAAACGCTGGACAAATGATCGTTCGTCTCAAAGCGTCAGGAAAACTTGTTTGTTCTTTTGTACAATGTGAACAATAGTGGAGGGAGGGTCGTGGTTTAAGTTAAAGAGAAACTACTCAAAGGGTGAACATTCTTTGGTTCGAAGGGGCTTCGCGTCCTCGCCAATTCGAATCAAAGAATGTCCACTTTTTCGTCGTTTCTCCTTACAGAGCAAGGAATAATCGGCCAAGCCGTGTAATTACGAAAGGATCAATTTAGTACTGGTTGATGCCTACTTAGGATTCACCTTCTAAGGTTAAGGCACAACAAACATGATACAAGTTACACACGATGCAAGATGTGGGGAGAGAACCCCCCCGTATTGGTCATTGTTTGGTCTGAATCTCAGGAATTCTTTACAGACTTCTGGGGGATGTGTTTGGTAACAATAGTCTAGAGTGTGTATAGGAATGGGATTGGACATGGGGGGGGTACCCATCGACCCCATATCGTGCATGGTATCTGCACACCAATAAATGTGTTCCTAGAGTCGCTTTTAGTCTGTGAGTGTGGGTGGTCTCCAATGCGCTACTGTGCCTGGGAGTATATTTCTTTCGCGTAGCGAGCCGCGTCCACACCGACTTTGACCAATCAGAATCGATTAAACTGTCTCGTATCCAGGTGCCAGCGCGTGTTTTACGCGTTGGGTATTATCACCTTTCAGCAGGCGCTATCAAAAGTTAAAACACGGTCACGTTGCACGTTGTGGAAGATGGAGACAGTCGCAGGTATTTATGAGTGTGGGGTAAAGTTCCATACGTTTTTTTACAGAGTTTGTTCACAATTAACATACTCGCACGTACAATTTTTTTCCAAAGTTTTAAATTTAATCTGTTTTTAATGCATAGTGCTAGAGATAGAAATGTTTTCTACTTTTGTTTTTAAATTTGAATACGCCAAAAATGATTGATTAGTATCCCCCTTACATCAGTTTGATCCAATTTCAAGGTACACAACCACAGGAGTCGATATACCATTTTGAATGGGAGCCACATGAAATTTGCTCACGGACCGTCACGCAAAGCAAGTGTAATGTACCCCCCTTCCTTTCATCTTCATTCTCCATTCTTCGGTTTTAATTTTGCCCACAGACCATGATTTTATCGACAAAACTAACCGATGGGGGGGGGGTAACACCCCACTCCAGAGACGCCCGTGCACACAACGCAGGGTGGCCTCTGCATGTTTTCCGCTTTCTAATACAATGAATTTTAAGATAGTTCGTCACACTTTAAGTTTACTTTCTGCAGCATGTGCACTCTTCAAGTTATCTCCGAGAATTGTTTTCTCAGATTTACTTAAACAGATTATCAGAGGTTTCCGGTTAGATTTGTATTTTTTATTTCATTTTATTCGAGTATTTATTAGGCTGTGCTAATCTGGATGTTCCCGGAACAAGTTTCAATTTTAAGAATTGGGGTACTCGAATGCTCAGTTCATGCGTCGTTCTTATGGAGCAAAATATGACACTGCCTTAAACTGGCTGCTGATTTGGTCGTGAAAACCTACAGTAAAACCTGTTAGTACAAACTACTGTGGCGTCTGCTTTCATTCACACAGTTCAACTTCGGCTGTCCCATTTGATTGCAGATGGCAACACTTCCAAGATACCAAGAAGGAGGTTGGGGCTGGGCGGTTGTGCTGGCCAACTTCACAATAGAGCTTGTCTTTTTCGGCAACTTGAAAGCACTCGGAGTTCTGATTGCTTCTATGACAGAGGACTTCGACACCGAGCTGTGGGTAGTCGGCTCCATAGCCTCCCTACATTATGCAATCCAGACTCTCCTAGGTAAGGAACCAGTCCATCTTTGGTATTGTATATTTGGTATTGCATATAGACTTTGTGCTTAAGTATCTTTCATTTTTGAGAAAATTGGCAGTGGGATTTTCTTACTGTTAATTATGATGTATCTAGGAACTTGTTACATGTAACAAGTGCCTATACATGTAATTACAGGTACTTTCTTCTCACAAACGTGCGAAAAACTGACGACTCTTTTTTGGTCTCTCTAATTGCGCGGTGAACTTTATAAAACTCAAAAGATGTTCATGTTTTTGCAACAAATGAGGTCACTGTAGGTGTGATGTCATTATTAGCAAGCCACTTTTCATTTGGAGATTATGATAAAAATCTGCTCACTGGCAAAAAGTCTTGACAATAAACGACTAATCATCAAAGTAAATACAATGTGCACAAGAACTTATGAGGTGTTTGTTTATGATTCGGCTGGCCTATTTTTTTTCTTTGGTCGCTCATTGTTGTATAAGTGGATTTTCATGCTACTTCGCTACGCTCATACGCATGAAAAACGGTTTTGATTTTCTACTAGGGCCAAGAATTCAAAAAATGCAAAATCATTCAAATCAAGTGAAATTTATTTGAGACGACATGGGTAATTGGCCTGCAAGCACGAATATGCCGAGAGTAAATATAAAGCAGAAATTCAATGAATAAGCACAGAGCAAATATAAGTCGGATCTTCACTCTAAATTGGTAAATTTAACAGCGAGCAACAAAATTACAAAATATTACGACTAGAGTAATTAATCATAAACAGAAGATGAAAGAACAAATCAAAGAACAATTAGTAAACTCATACAAACTTAAATTTACAACATCGTAAGCTGAACAGGGACACCTGCCCTTTCTCACTTGGCCTTTCTCGGCCCCTTCAGACTCTGGCCGGGACTCATCATCAAAATGGCCCCATTGGCTTCACATGGCATCTACAAATCTTAACACCCCAAACGATTTGGGTTTCAGCAAAACGGCAGTAAAGAATTCTAATAAATATATAAGAGCCTAACTTAGCTCTCCATAATTCAAATTAATTATCGTAGCAAATTGAAATGCTTCAAAAGCGTCGGGAATAAAATTGACCGAAGTGGAACGAAAAAGTCGATATGTTCAAACCAAATTTCATTCGAATAAAGTCCCAGACAACTCCAATCATTTGCTTGTGTCTTTGTTGACATAACGGTTTTTGGCTGAAGTAGTCTTCCAACGGCCATGTTGGAGGATGAAAGTTCTGGAATATTACGATTAGCCAGATGAGAAGCCCATCCAGAACGTAAACTGTGAAGACCAAATTCAGAAACGTTATCAACACCAATAGACTTGAGGGCCTCAAAAAAATAACTCCCTACACCTTGAGTAACTAGGTGGTCTGTTCTGGCCGCGTCTGTAGGAACCGTTAGAGGAACAGAAAGTGAGCGGGGTGAATATGAACTTATCGTCTCCCAACTGGATACCAGATCTGTCCAGGAATCTCATAAAAACAGCATAATCATCCAGGATTTTTCTAAGCTGTCCCAAAGGAAGTTTGTGGGTCGGTGGTTTGTAAAGACTTTTTCTGGCAGCGAGTAAAATATTCTGGACAATAGAGGAATCTATAGGATTTTCTTTAATATTCATTAAGGACTGCAGCCATTTCATAACAGCAGCTGCAATCGAAATGACGCTCTCGGACTGGGAAAGGGACTTAAGATGATATAAGAAAGCTGCCACAGCCTCATCCTGAAAGAGAAAGGAGCAAGGAATCTTACGATCCGATAACCAGTTCAAGAAATTATGACATTTGTAAAGATAGGAATTAGAGGTGCAGTGATTTTGCCGTAATAGCTTCGAACAATAACTGGTCTTTAGAATCCCGCTGCTCTTGAATAATCTGTAAAATAAATAAATAAAATAACTGATAAGATTCACCATGAAGGAAGCAAATGGAAATTAAAATTTGGAACAGTCCAATTTCAGAACTACCATCTCACTTTCTAATTCTGGAGAACCTAGTAAAGAATTTTTATTCCTGCCGTGAACCAAAGCCCGCCCAGCACGCACAACGAAAAAAATCGATAATACAAGGCTAGAAGGTTGACCACAAAAGAGGCCAGAATGGGCTCGTTCGAGGGCCACCATGGACAAACTAAAACACCCTTTCCGTGACGAAATTAAATTATCTGGCCCACAAAGGAATGCAGTTACCTGACTGTGCAAGAAGGATATTGAGAGAGCGAACAAATGGAGGTTTGAAGTTTAGTCAACCTACGATCTAAGACTTTGAGAGTACCCAAACTGGAATCCCAAATCATACCCAACCAAACAATGGACTGACTGGGCTTCGAAACACTTTTCTCAATATTATGAATGAAATCGGTATTCAAAAGATCTGACCTCACATGGGCAGAAACCTGAGATGCCACAATATTATGCTGTTCTCGAGAAAGATTCGATCGAGGTACGACTATGAAACCATCGTCTAAGTAAAGGGCAATAAAAATGCCGCAGGAACGCCAATGTGTCACCAAAGGTTTCATGATCTTGGTAAAGATCCACAGAGCAGAGGTGAGACCGAATGGGAGAACTGTAAACTCAAAAAATATTTATGAACGTCCTCAATACACCAAGAGAAACCTAAATATTTGTGGTAATGGGGACGAATATCAACATGATGGTATCCAGACTTAAGATCGAAAGAAAACAAAAAGGCATCCAAAGTGAAATATGGCAAAACAACTTTCTAATCATCAATTTTTAAATGATTCTTCTGGACGTACTTATTTCACTGGCTCAGGTGAAGAATCAAACGATTTTTACCTGAAGCCTGTACAACAACAGAGAGGGGACTGATAAGAAGGGAAACTACTCTCTCTGATTCGGTTGGAAGCCAGCAATTCCAATGTGGTTTGTGTGACAAATTAATTATTACGTAAAGCAGAAACATTGTTAGGGAAACGCATAGGCAGAGGATTTTCTGTGAACCACAATTTTAAACCTTCACTTATGATTGACAAAATTAAATCAGGGGCACCAATACTTCGCCAAAACTCATGACAAAATTTGAGTCTACCTTTAACATCTAGGCCTACCTGATCGGAAGTTATAAAATCATAATGATGAAATTTGCATGGTACCAGAATGATATCAGTGAACTTTTTGAGAGTATTCCCAGCTAACAATTTGACGTTGTGACGACGTTGCCACAAGTTCACGTTTTCGTCTCCGCAACGTTACAAAAGTGACGTTGTAGCGACGTAAAAATGTCGACTCCCAGTTTCGTTGCCACAACGTTATCACACAACGTTATGAAGACGTTTTTACAACGTCAATACAACGCAATGTTTTGACATGTCTGCAACAATGCTGCAACCTTCAAACAACCGAAATATCACGTTTATACAACATCTGGGCACGTAACAGCGACATATTTACGACCAGATTTTTACCAAGGCACAACGTTTGGGCAACTTAATGGGCACGTAACAGATACGTCTTTACAACCCTGTAGGAACGCGACTACGACTTAACTGCCACATTACTGCAACCTGGGTGAGGACGTTTGTACAACTTTGGGTACGTCAATACAACTATGCAGCTTCCTAAATGCAACGTATATGACACCGCATTGCAACACATTTGGAACGTAGTAGCTAAATGTAGTGTAGATACGCGTATGCAACCTCTTTGGGACTTGATTACAACTTGATGAGCACGATATTGAAACCTCTTCGCAACCCTGTGGGCACGTCTATGCAACTTTGTAGTCACGTTAATGTAACATTCCAGTGACGTTACTGCAACGTCGTGAGTACAGTACGACAACATTGGAGGGACGTTTTAGCAACTAATTTGGTACGGGACTGAAACATTTGGGGAACGTTACTGGAACTTGTACTGCAACCATTTAGACACTGTACTGCAACCATTGTTGACAACATTCCTGCAACTTTGAGGGCACCACTTATTCGATGCTTAACGGCTGCACATATGCACATTTTTACATCAGTCCTACCACATTAAACATACCTGTCGACGAATGACAACAAAACAACTGAATCAGAATTACTTTCTCTACTTTTATTTCAAAGAATGTACTCCATGATCTCTATGGATCCAAAACTTTGACAGTCGATACCATTACAAAGTGAAACTGGGGAACTAAATTTTAGTGATGTGACGTCATTTTTTATTTGCTGGGCCTATAATTTAAAAAAGAATTACAGCAACACATACATATTCCGTGTCATTTTCCATTCTAAACGACAGAGTTGGAAAAGAGAGTTAACTATATCCTGATGGTATAGAAACATAAAAACATCAAGTCGTGATTATTTGGTGGAATTTTTCAGGTTCCCCCGAAAATATTTGGTTTGCAATCTTTTGTGAAAGTTATGAACTGGGGCAAAGTACGCACAGAAAAAAAACCGGAAAAACCTTCAGCAACGGCCTGATTTTCTTTCTTTTATACGTACACAGTGAATTAGTTTCATGTGTGGACCTGTGTGTAAAAGTGCCAAAATAACTTATTTTACAAAGGCTGAGGACATCAATTATGTGAGAAAAACTACGGACAGTATAGTTTTCCAACAGAGGATGCAGCTAGTGCTGTCATTCATTCATTGTCCGCGTCATCTCGGACAGGATTCTGGACAAAAGAAGAAAGAAAAATCACTATAAATATCTTCTCTTGCATACAACACATGACTTTGATGATAACACCGACAACTTTTTTTAATCAATTGTTTATGAAACGGTCATTATAATGTCTATTAGTATTTTTGCATGTCATTTCAACCCTTTCCGATAAATTCTCACAAGTAGTCAGGTTTGCAGATTCATAAGTTCAGTAGGATGAGTAAATATCTGAACAAGCTTTTGATAAAAAAGACAAAAAATCACCATCGCATAAATATGACACATCAGGCCTGTATATTGTAAAGACAAAATGAACAGAGTCTATCTGTGACAATAGTTTAAAAAATTGATGTGCATCTGCGAATCGTCTATTTTAA